TCGTCATCGTTGTCGTCGTCGTAGTTTCCCCAGTCGTCGTCGACCTCGCTCCCATCGCCGTCCTCGTCACCACGGCTGGATTCGCGGCGGAGTTTTGCTCAGGGGTCGACCATTGAAGTGTCGTTGCCGTCGCCGTCGTCGTCGGGGAGAACTTTCGATGTGCTAGTTTGTTTTCACGTTTTGGTATTCTTTTTGGACCGCCGTGAAGCTTCTGGTCTCCGCGAAGCCCTGTTCAGCATTGCATCCGAAACCGATGCCTGGAGAGGCCTGAGAGAGCCAACTGTCCAGCGAGGAGGGGGGCAGGTCCCCTGCCTCGTCGTCCTCGTCGTGGGCTCGGTCATGGGAAGGATGCGGGGGGGGGGGTCAGGGGTGATAGGGGGGGTGGAGGACGGGGGAGGGTCGGGGCGGAGAGGGCGTGGGGCGTGCTGGCTGGGGGGGGCGAGGAGGAGCTGGGCCGGCTGCGGGGGGCGAAGAGGAGGAGGTGTGCTGGCTGAAGGGGGGAGCTGGCGGAGCTCGGCTGGCTGCGGGGGCCGGGAAGGGCGGGGGCGGTGCAGATGCTGTGCCGTGCCGGAATAAAGTGGTGGAGGCGGAGGGGTCGCGTTAGTTGGGTGACGAGGATGAGGAGGAGGACGAGGAGGAGGAAGAGGACGAGGAGGAGGAGGAGAAGGAGGAGAAGGAGAAGGAGGAGAAGGAGAAGGAGGACGAGGAGAAGGACGAGCTGGACTGGCTGCGGGGCGGGGGAAGGGGGCGGCGCGGTGCCATCCTGTGCTGTGCCGGAATGTAGTGCTCGGGGCGGAGGGGGAGCGCTGGCTGGGGGGCGAGGGGGGCTGGGGCCAGGCTGGCTTCAAGGCCAGGACCAGGACCAGGAGGACGACGACGAGCAAACACAAAACGTCCGGCGCGAGGGGGGCTGTGGCCAGGGCCAGGGGAGGAGGCTGGGCCCAGGGCCAGGGCCAGGGGTACGACGACGAGCGAAAATGAAGGGTCCAGGGCGCCAGGGGAGGACGCTGGGTCCAGGGCCAGGACCAATGGGGGCGACGACGAGGGGAGTTGGGGCTAGGACCAGGGTGGGAGGCTTGCTCGAAGGCCAGGACCAGGGGGACGACGACGTACGAAAGTGAAGGGTCCGGAGCGACGGGGGCTGGGGCCAGGGGCGTGTGAGGAGGCTGGGTCCGGGGCCACGGCCGGCGGGGCGAGGGAGGCTAGGGCCACGGCCAGGGGGGGAGGTGGGGTCCAGTGCCAGGACCAGGGGGACGACGGCGAGGGGGGCTGGGGCTAGGACCAAGGGGGGAGGCTGCTTGGGTGGACCAGTGCACTTGTAAGTACTTGGCCGACTTAGTAAGTACTAAGCCGACTTGGATATATTTGCTAAGTGTTGAGCCAAGTCATTTACAAGTACTTAGCTCGGCACTTAAAAGTACGTACTAAATATTTAGCCAATTACTTAGCTTGAGGTGCCAAGTACGTAGCCCGGCACTTAGAAGTACTTACTAAGTGTTCAGTAAGTGACTTTGCAAGTGACTTGGCTAAGTACTTAGCTCGGCACTTACAAGTACTTAGCTAAGTAGTTAGCTTGAGTTGCTAAATACTTAGCAGACGCTCCTAAGTGCCTATACGACCGCCCTACGGGCGATAAGGAGGTTGGGGTGCATTGAGATCAAAGATGGGTTGGATTGGGTTGGGTGGATTGGGTTGGGTGGATTGGATTGGAGTGGATTGGGGGGCTGGATTAGGTTGGGTTGATTGGACTGGATGGGATAAGATGGATTGGATCAGATAAGATGGGTTGAATTGGAAGAAATGGATTGGATCATCGATTGGATTTGCCCGCCGCAGGCGCAGAAACATATACATTGATGGATTGGGTTGAGTGGACTGGATTGGGTGGGATAAGATGGGACAATATGGGTTGGATTAGATAATATGGATGGGATTGGACAAGATGGATTGGTTCAGATAAGCTGATTTGGATAAGAAAGCCCGCCGCAGGCGCCGAAAAAAATGAATTATGAAATTAGCGACCCAACTGGGACACCCGTGACACCGCCCGCGGCCCAACTGGGACTCCCCCCGGCCACTGGCGGACGGGAAACGGATTTTCGCTCCTACTGATACCCGGGACACCCGGGACACCCCCAGCCACCGGCGGACGGGAACGGACTTTCGCTCTTACTTCGGCCTAGCTACAGGAGGATCACGCGCAGCTTCGCCTCGCCCGCACGCACGACACGAACACGAAACCGAAACCGATTTCCCGGTGGGAGGCCTCCGTTTCACTGCGATCTCACCCCCCAACCTCCGATTTAGCCAAGTGTTTACCTATAGGCCCTGAGATGCTTAGGGGGGATTGAGGATGTCATGAAGGCCCCTCAGGGGTCTCAGAAAGGCCCTTCCAACATCAGCATCAGCAGCATCGCCATCATCAGCACTATAGCCATCGTAATCGCTATCCTCATCAGGGGGAGGATGGCCATTTTCATCATCCCTTACCTCTCCCGCCTACGCTTCATTCATCGTCGCATTCTTCGTCAGCTCCGTCGTTTTTCCCCGAGTGCTCTTGTCTCACCCCCCTCCTCGGCAACCATCCCCCTCGTCATTGGAGGAGGCAGGTGATGAGAGGGAAAAGGAAAGGGCGACAATGCGAAGATCTGCGCATTGGCGAGACAAGGAAAACGAAACGACGGATGACGATTAAGGAGGACGACGAGCTACGAGGAACATGAAAAGGGACGAAGGAGACAGTGATGGACTGAGAGCCGAGTGGATTTTATCCCAACGCACCTCTTCCATCTATAGTTCGCGCGCCCACTTTCATCATGGCGTGTCCTAGTGGTACTGGTTTGGAAGGGGGATAATGGAGAAACGGATGATGAGGAGGGCGTGCTCTATTCCTCTTGTTGCATCTGTTGGTATGTGTAAAGCGAACTAGTTATGTAGCTTATGAGTGTCCTAGCAAAGCGCCATGTCGGCGGCGGAGTCGTCGCCGTCGCGCTCGCCGTCACGCTCGTTGTAACGCTCGTTGTTGTCGTCATCGGCGGCGGAGTCGCCGCCGTCGTGATCGTCGTCGGGGTCGTCGCAGCCGCCGTCGTCGTCGGAGTCGCTATCGTCGTCGGCGGGGCCGTCGCCGTTATGGTCGGAGTCTTTGCCAGGCTCTTCGAAGGAGTTGTCGGCGTCGGGTGGTAGTCAGAGTCGTCGTTTGCGTCGTCGTCGCTGGTGCAGATGTCGTCGGAGTCGCCTTCTGTGGCAGCCTCGGAGACATCTTTCGTGGCATCCTATGGGGCGTCCCAGGGGGCGCCCTATTTGGGTGGATCCTACGAGGCCTCCCGTGGGGGCATCCTAGGGGGGGCATCATGTTGGGAGGGCGTCTGATGGGGCATAATTCGGGGCAGCTTCCTGAGCGTTATACTGGGCATCGCACAGAGCATCTTGCGGGCCATGTGATGGGGCATCTTAGGTGGCAGCATCTTGGGAATCATATGGGCTATCATATTTTGATACAGTTGGGAAGGACATCGTGTGAGGCATCGTGTAGGGCACCTTATGGGGCGTCCTGCGGGGCGTCATGGGGTGGGCATCGTTGGGTGCATTGGTTCATTGTGTGGCGCATCCTCTGGGGGGCGTCCTATGAAGTATATCGTGGCGCATCCTGCGGGGCAGTCCGAGGCCCTCTTGGAGCCGTCTTTGGCAATCTTGGACGCTCCAACTACCCGCGGAACCCCCCGTCCAGGTTCAGGGGAGGGGGCAGGAGGAGAGGTAAACCTCTCCCGAACGGGAAGAAGGGGGTTGGAAGATGAAGCTCCCTAGACCACATACGCCCAGAGGGCTGGTGGGATTCGGGGGGATCAGGATTTGCCGTCGGAGGTCTGCTGGGGAACGGCGACTACAAAGACGTAATGACCCCCCCAGCGGGTTGTCGCAAAGTTAGGTCCAGAGGGGCCAGTAGGCCCTCGCGCCAGTTGCGACGGCAACCTCCGCGTGACCAGCACGCCCCCACACTCCAGGGCTCCCTCGCAGCCATTCCGACGACTCGAGCCCTTCTTCTGCCCCGCTGCTCTCTCTATTGGTCAGGGGCCTCGTGGCGGCACATGGCCTCTCCGCGCCCCCAGGCCCGCCACGCCGTTGGCGACCGGACCCACTTGGTGCCGCCACACCTTCACCGAAGAAGAACATACGACATCAGCATAAGCTTTTGGCGCTCCGCGCGGAGTTCTTGGACCCGTGCTGGGACCCCCCCTTGGCGGCGCCTCTGGCGCCGCCCCTGGCGCGCGGAGCGCGCCAGGGAGGGGGGCCCAGCGCGCATCCAAGAAGCCCGCGCGGAGCGCCCAAAGTTTCTATGTCTACGTCGTTGTGTTTGTTCTCTCGGCTTCAGCCGCTCGACCCCGGGCCTCGTGGCGGCAGGGCGACTCCGCGCCGCCAGGCCCGCCACGCCTTGGGCCACCTGCCCCCCTGGGGGCCGCCCTTGGACGCTAGGCTCGCCGCCGACCTCGGCCAGGGCGTGCGCGCCCGGCGCGCCGCGTGGGGGCCGCCGGCCGACGCGCAGAGGCGCCCCTTGAGGCGCCCGCCTGGTCTCTCGGACACCGCGGCGGCGCTCGGGGGAGGAAGAGGTACCCCCAGACACGAGCGCGTCGTACAGGGAAGTCAAGGCGGGAGGTCTTGGGCCATGCTCGGCTTCGGGGGGGGGCCCTCGCCGGGCCTCGGGACCGTCAGAAAACGGCTCAGGACGAGAAGCCGGCCCCGGGGAAGGGGTCGGGACTTCCGGGGACGCCGTGTCAAAAGAATCAGGACGTCGCACGTCTGGGTACCCATGCCGCTGCCCTTCCCTCGTTTTCCCTTTTTGGGGCCTCCTGGGAGGCTCTCTTCGCCACCGTTAGATTCGCTTCGAAATCCTGGTCAGAGAGAACCCCAGAAGAGGTCCGGGGAATAGTGGTATCGGTACCTTCGAGTATCCCCAGGCGTTGGCGCGCGCACAGCCATAGGCGGCAGGCTGGCTGCTGCGCAGGATGATCACGCTGACGCGCCGCGAGAGCGCGCCGCGCGCCACGGGCTCCGTGTCGCTCTGGGGCGACACGGACGAGGATCGGAACGATCGGAATGGGTACAGAAATAACAGGCACGATGCCCAAGAACAGTTCTCTTTCATCCTGAACAGGGCTCGCTGCCGGCGCCGCCAGAGACGCTGTACACTGACGGCAAGAAGCTGCCTGCCCAGCAGCAGCCGCTGTAGCCTTTAAACAACACTTGTTGATTAACATTGTACCCTGAAGTCGGGCATGTCCCTCTACAGGAGGAATATCCAAAAATAGTCAGAACATCTGGAGACGTTTGTTTGATTATTTTTCCCAACCATCCTGTGGTGTTGGGTCCTCGCTTTGAAGAGACAGCGCTCCGCGTTCCTCCCGCCTCCTTCCTGCCCCGCCTCCTCCTCCCCCTCCTCCCTCTTTCCATGCGCCTCGTCATCGTCATCGTCAGCGTCATCATCGTCATCATCATCGCCATCGTCATGATCCACATCATCATGAGCATCGCCATCGTCAGCGCCGCGCCCCTCGCACGGTTCGTGGCCCCACATGGAGCTCCACCGAAGGTACCAGTGGCAGGGTCCGCGTGCGGGGACCGCCACCCGTTTGGGCACATCCCTCACATGATTCGTGGCCCTGTAGGGAGCTCCACCGAAGGCCCCAGTGGCAGGGTCCACATGGCGGCGCCGCCGCATTCTGGCGCACCCCTCACACGGTTCCTGGCCCCATAGGGAGCTCCACCGAAGGCCCCATTGGCAAGGTCCACATGGCAGCGCCGCCCCATTTTGGCGCACGCACCCCTCGCACGGTTCGTGGCCACATAGGGAGCTCCACCGAAGGCCCCAGTGACAGGGTCCGCATGCGGGGACCTCGACATTTTGGCGCACCCCCTCGCACAGTTCGTGGCCCCATAGGGAGCTCCACCGAAGGCCCCAGTGACAGGGTCCACATGGCAGCGCCGCCCCATTTCGGCGCACCCCTCACAGGGTTCGTGGCCCTGTAGGGAGCTCCACCGAAGGCCCAAGTGGCAGGGTTCAAATGGTTGTGCCGCCCCATTCTGGCGCACCCCTTGCACGGTTCGTGGCCACATAGAAAGCTCCACCGAAGGCCCCAGTGGCAGGGTCCGCATGCGGGGACCGCCACCCATTTTGGCGCACCTGTCACACGGTTCGTGGGCCCATAGGGAGCTCCACCGAAGGCCCCCCTCCTCCGTCTCATATCTTTCGCGGTACTCGCGGCTGCATATGGTCGGGTCCCTCGTCAGGCTAATTGAACCTGTTTGGTGCATTTGGGGGCGGGGATCTTTACAATGTGTCGTCCAACATGCCCCTGTAGGAGGACCTTCCCGACTTTATTGTACCCATGTCTCCGTGCCCATTTGGGGCTTCCAGCGAGCAGGACACCGACGAGGAAGTCCCCGGCGAGGCGGCCGCCGGCGAGGTGCATGTTGGGGAGGGCGTCGGGGGCGGCCACCAGACCCTCCCCGAGCTGCCCAAACTCAGCGAATGTAATGGCGAGGACCGCAGGGAGGACGTTGAGAACGACAAGGACTGAGAACTCTCCGGCCCTCCTCGTCCTCCCCCCTCCTCTCCCATACACATCGCTCAGAGCTAGGTATTCATGGGGATGAGCGCTCACACGATGTTTGCGCGTGTTGTCTCGCTGTCTGGTTGACCCCAGACGGCTTGAAGGGCTTCAGTGTCCCCCGTCCTCTGAGGTCTGGATGACTGCCGACTGCGACGGTTGCTTTGCCAGTCGCACTGTCGCATTGTAGTAGAACTAGTCTGCTGCTGTAGTGCTCGAGCGCAGCAGTCGTATCCTCGAGTTCGGGCGTTCTAGCGGAAGTGTTCTATGAAGAGCGCTGTACTTTTGGTGAGTAGTGTTGCATCGCAGTGGCACTGCAGAACCAGTACGTCATCTAGTACCATGTTCGCATGAGTGGTATTATACTAATGCATGCAGTGGGTGTACTATTATACGGTAGTAAAAAATGCCCAAGTGCCGTAGTATCGCAGACTTGTTGTAGTACTGGAGTGCTGTAGTGTTGTAGCGGGGACGCTGCAATAGACGTAGTACAATCCTGTAGCAGCAGTACTGCAATAGTGGTACTCTAGTGCTGTCCTGGTGGTGCTTCGATACCGTGCTCAGCTACTAGTCGTATTGCACGAATGAAGTGGCAGCGCTGTAGTAGTCCTGTAGTTACTGCGGCACGGTTCAGGTCTTGCAGTAAAGGTCATACTCCGAGTGCTTGCTGTGGTGGTCACACTTTTGTGTTGTAGCACAAGTAGCCCAGAATTGTAGCATTCGGCCGCAACATTAGCACCCTCGAACTGGAATGGCTTAGTGGTAGCGCAGTGAGAAAACTACTGTGCTATCGTGGGATCGTGCTGTATTGTAGTAGCGGCAATGTAAAAGCATGACTCTGGTGCAGCATTTGTATGAGCAGTGCTGTACGATTGTCTGTAGTGGGTGTATTACAGTAGTGTAGTAGGGGTTGGCCAATGGCGTACGATCGTAGCGCGGCTGTAGCATTTCAGTACTTTAGTGTTGCAGCGGTGGCACTGTAAGAGCCGTAGTTCAGCACTGGGACAGTAGCACTGCAGTAGTGGTACCCCAGATCTGTATTAGTAGCGCCATGGGACCAGCAGCAGGAGTAATGGAGCTCCAACATTGGAGTGCGCAAGCAGTCTAGCCGTAAACTAACCCGGGAGTGCCGTAGTAGTACGTTCGTCGTAACGTACTATTGCAGTCGAAGTGTTACTTTGGTACAACAGTAGTGGTAACATTGTCGTGGTGGCTGGAGGGACAGCACAGTATTGCAATACTGTAGTAGTGTAGCAGCTGTCTAATACGGTCGTACTGTTGCAGTCGTAATCGTGTTGTGGGGAGTAGTAACGCTATAGCAGTTTAGTTGTAGCAATGTTGTAGCAATGCGGTATTCGTGGGTGTACTGCAGTACTGTAGTAGGACTCGCAGTATCGCAGTAGCACAGCACTTTTGCAGTTCTCTGGCACTGTAGTTATGTAGAGGTGGCAGTGTACTAGTCGTAGAGCAGCACCTCAGCAGTAGTACTGCAGTAGTGGTACTCTATTATTGCGCGAGCTGTTACAGCATACCGTGCTAAGCGAATCGCAGAATTGCACTAATGGGTGGCAGCACTGTTGTCGTCATGTAGTTGTAGTAGAGCTAGTGGTAGTATCAGTAGTATTCAGACCTTGCAGGAAAGGTAATTGTCCCGTGCTTGCTTTGCTAGTCGCGCAGTCGTAGTGTAGTAGGAGTAGCCCACTACGGTAGCACTCGAGTGCGATAGTCGTATCCTCGAAGTCGGGCGTTTTACTGGTAGTGTTGTATGAAGAACGTTGTACTATTGGGGGGTAGTGTTGCGCTGTTGTAGCAGTGGCACTGCAGAGGCAGTACGTTATCTAGTACCGTGTTCGTATGAGTGGTGCTCTACTATTGCCTGCAGTGGGTGTACTATCGTAATGTAGTAAAAATGCTTCAGCGCCGTAGTACCGCAGCACTGTTGTAGTACTGGAGTGCTGTAGTGTTGTAGCAGGGGCGCTGCAATAGTCATAGTACAATATTGTAGCAGTAGTACTGCAGCAGTGGTACTCTAGTGCTGGATTGGTGGTGTTACGATACCGTGCTGAGCTACGGGTCGCATTGCATTAGCGAAGTGGCAGCGCTGTGGTAGTCCTGTAGTTGCAGCGGCACGGTTCAGGTCTTGCAGTAAAAGGTCATACTCCTGGCGCGTGCTGTGGTAGTCGCGCTGTTGTCTTGCACTGGCACTGTAGAAGCATGGTTCTAGTGAAGCATTTGTGCATGAGAAGTGCTGTACGATTGTAGTGGCGTAGTACAGTACTGCAGGAGGGATTGGCCAATGCCGTATTATCGTAGCACGGTTGTAGCACTTTAGCACGTTAATGTTGCAGTGGTGTCGCTGTAATAGTCGTAGTTCAGCATTGGGGGCGTATCACTGCACTAGTGGTGCTCTAGATCTGTACTTGTAGTGCCCTCGGACTGGTAGCAGTAGTAATGGGGCTCCAAGGTTGGAGTGCGCAAGCAGTGTAGTCGTACACTGGTACTGCAGTGCCGTACTAGTACGTTATTCGCAACGTGCTATTGCAGTCGAGGTGTTACTTTGGTACACCCGTAGTGGTAACATTGCCGTGGTGATCGGAGGAGCACTACATTACTGCAATACCGTAGTTGTGTAGCAGCTGTCTCATACGGTCGTACGGTTGTAGTCGTAATCGTGTTGTGGGGAGTAGTAACGCTATAGCAGTTTAGTTGTAGCAGTGTTGTGGCAATGTGGCATTCGTGGGTGTACTGCAGCGCTGTAGTAGAACTCGCAGTCTCGCAGTATCGCAGCACTGCTGCAGTACTTTAGTGGTGTAGTGCTGTAGAGGTGGCAGTGTACGAGTCGTAGAGCAGCGCTCGAGCAGTAGTACTGCTGTAGTGGTACTCTATTATTGCACGAGCTGTTATAACATACCGTGCTAAGCCAGTTTTAGACTTGCATAAATGAAGTGGCAGCACTGCTGGAGCCTTGTAGTTGTAGTAGAAATGGTATTCGTACCAGTAGTACCCAAACCATGCAGTACTGGTAATTGTCCCGTGCTTGTTTTGTTAGTCGCACGGTCGTAGTGTAGTAGGGGTAGCCCACTCCAGTAGTACTCGAGTGCAGTAGCCGTATCCTCGGATTCGTTTTTATTATTATTATTTTTTGTCGGTAGTGTTGCAGGAATGGCGCTGTACTATTGGGGAGTAGTGTAGCACTGTTGTAATAGTGGCACTGTAGAAGCAGTACGCTATCTAGTACCGTATTCGCATGGGTGGTACCCTACGACTGCCTGCGGTGGGTGTATTCTATTGTATTGTAGTAGAACTGACCAGCGCCGCTGTACCGCAGCATTGTTGTAATATTTTTATGCTGTGGTACAGTAGCGGTGACGCTGCAATAGGCGTGGTACAGTAGCAGTAGAATTGCGTAGTGTGTTGGAGCAATCGAACTGCAGTAGTGGTACTTTAGTGCTGTATTGGTGGTACTTCGATGCCGTGCTAACCTAGTTGTCGTATGGCTGAGATGGAGTGGCAGCACTGTAGTAGTAATCCGGTAGTTGCAGTGGTACGGTTCAGGTATTGCAGTAAAGGTCATACTCCCAGCGTTTGCTGTAGCAGTCGCGCTGTTGTGTTGTAGTAGAAGTAGCCCACTATTGTAGTACTCGGGCACAGTAGCAGCACCCTCGAACTTTAGTGGTTTAGTGGTAGCCGCGTGAACGACATGCTGTGGTATTGTGGGATCGTGCTGTATTGTACTAGTGGCACTGTAGAAGCATGACTCGACGGCAGCATGTGTATGAGAAGTGTTGTACGATTGTCTGTAGTGGGTTACTACAGTACTGCAGTGGGGATTGGCCAATGCCGTATGATCGTAGCATGGCTGTAGCATTTTACTACTTTAGTGTTGCAGTGTTGGCATTGTAATAGTCGTCATTCAGCACTTGGACAGTTGCACTGGAGTAGTGGTACCCTAGACCTGTACTTGTAGTACTCTGGACTGGCAGTGGTAGCAGCGGAGCTCTAGCACTGGAGTGCTCAAGCAGTGTAGCTGTAAACTGGTACCGCAGTGCCGTAATTGTACGTTATTCGTAATATTACATTGAAATCGAAATTATACTCTCGTACAGTAGTAGTGGTAACCCTGGAGTGGTGGCTGGAAGAACAGTACATTATTACAATACTTTAGTATTGCAGCAGCATTCCAGCACGGCCGTACTGATGTAGTCGTACCAGTGTTGCGAGGAGTAGTAGTACTATAGTTCTTCATCTGTAGTGTTGTGTAACAATGTGGTAGTATTCATACCCGAATTTTGTAGTAGCTATAGTAGGGCCGAGGATCAGGGTATGCTCTGGCTGAGGCAGAGGCCGAGGCTAGGCTTAGGCCGAGGCTTAAGCTGACGCGGGACTTTATGTTAAGCTGAGGTTGAGGCTTAGATTGGGGCTCTGCATAGGCTCAGGCTGAGGTCCATGCCAGGCTTAGGCAATTCTTAGGCTGAAGCTTAAGCTAGGCTGAGGCGTAGGCTGAGGCATAGGCCAGGCTTAGGTTGAGGCAGAGGCTGAGGCTGAGGCCAGGCTTGGCAGAGGCAGAGTATGAGGCTAGGCTGCGGCTAGGCTGAGGCTGATGCTGAGGCTTAGACTTTGGCTACGATTCGGCTAAATTGTGGTTGGGGTTTAGGCTAGGTTTGGCTGGGGTTGATGTTTAGGCTGAGGACGGCGGAGAGAGAGAGAGAGGGAGAGACGAGAGGGGAGGCAGCGCCGAGGAAAAGCACAGCGGGTATACTGCGCCGGTACCAGCAGCAAACTGACGACGGGCGCCGCCTCCTACAAAACATAATCTTTGAAAACGCAGAGGGGGGGTCCGGCCCCGAAACAGACTCTGTTGATGTTCTTCTTGTGAGCAATGCTGTCACCTCCTCCGAACATTGTCTTGAGGTTTTCGGTCACTACCTGCACGGTCATCTTGTTGTTGCAGAGAGCCTTGAGGT